GTGTGTGTGTGCGTGTGCGTGTGTGCGCGCGCGCGCGCGCGTGTGTGTGTGTGTGTGTGTGTGTGTGCGTGCGTGCGTGCGTGTGTGTGTGTGTGTGTGTGTGTGTGTGTGTGTGTGTGTGTGTGTGTGTGTGTGTGTGTGTGTGTGTGTGTGTGTTTAAACTCTTACCTCGTTTGATAAAATGCTGCCGTTTGATATGATATCTGGCTGCTGGTCTGTGTACCCTGTCACTACGGCCCCGCACGGGTTGTGTTCGGTGTCGGTGCTCCTAGACGGACTACACGGCTTTAGGAACATGAGGTCGGTTTTGGCAGACTCTGGAGTCAGACATACCTGGTAGCAATAGTTCTGATTTTGATGGTGAGAGCCGAAGCTACCTGACTCCTCCACGGGGACTTGAGCCGTACCGGCCCCGCTGACGTTACCGGCGCTTTGCACCAGCATGATATCTGACTTGGTGAGCTTTTTCTTGCGGGCCCGGGCCTGTCGGGAGCAACAAGAGCTGCATCCCAGGCAGCACTCGCTGGTCAGGCAGCTGTAGAGGTTGAGCTTTTTATCCTTCTGGCAGCGCACGGCCAGCACGATCATGACCAACAGGAATATGAAAGAGACGGAGCCCAGGGCGATGATGAGGATGAGGGTGAGATCCAGGGTCCCCTCTTTGGCCTTGGCTGTGCCCCCCCTGTTCCCTACGCCGCGGCCTTCAGCCATGCTGTCCACCAGCATCACCAGCAGGCTGGCGCTGGAGGACAGCGGCGGCTGGCCGTGGTCCCGCACCTCGATCAGCAGGTCGTACAGCTGGTGGGGGTCTCGTTTGGCAGACACCCGCCTCGCCGTGCGGAGCTCACCTGTCCTCCAGTCCATCCGGAACATACCATTTTCGTTCCCCCTCTGGATGCTGTAGGATAAACGGGCATTCTCTCCGTCATCAGCATCCATGGCCACGATGCGGGTCACCAGGTAGCCCGGTTCAGCGGTTCGCGGCAGAGGCTCTTTGGCTGTGCCGTTCTTCCCCAAGGGAGCCAGCACCAGGGGGGCATTGTCATTCTGGTCCACGATGATGACTTTGACTGTGGAGTTGGTGGACAGCTCCGGGGTGCCCGCGTCTTTGGCCTGCACCATGAATGTGAAATCCTTCAGCTGCTCGTAATCGAAGGACCTGAGCGCGTACAGATAGCCCGTCTCCTCATTGATAGACACATAGGTTTTCACTGACATGCCCTGGATGTCACACTCTAATATGGTGTAGCTGATGAGCGCGTTCAGCCCGATGTCCGGGTCCAGGGCCGTCACAGCGTGTATGTAGGCCCCCGGCACGTTATTCTCGGTCACATACACATCGTATATGGGCTGCGTAAAGGTGGGCAGGTTGTCGTTCTCATCTGACACCTGGACTCGGATGGATTTACTGGTGGCAAGAGAGGGCGTCCCTTTATCCCGCGCCACCACAGTAATGGAGTAAGAGTCTGCCTGCTCCCGGTTCAACGGACCGTCAGTCACTATAGTGAAATAATTCCTGAAGGATGTTTTTAATTTAAACGGAACATCACCGATGATTTCCACGTGGATCTGTCCGTTCTCCTCTGCGTCCCGGTCCGTCACACTGAGCAGCGCGATGACGGTGCCCGGAGCCGCCTTTTCGCTCACAGACTCGGTGACGGTGCTGAAGGTGATCTCCGGAGCATTGTCGTTTAAATCGGTGACTTTGACCAGCACTTTGCAGTGCGCGGCCACGGCGTTTGGCCCCAGGTCCTTGGCCTGGACAAAGATCTGATACAAGCTGCTCTCCTCAAAATCCACCTCTCCGCGCACCTCGATGCGCCCGGTGCGCGGGTCTATGCTGAAAAGGTCCTTTACGCGGTTGGATATGTGGTTACTGAAGGAATAAACTATCTCCCCGTTTAGTCCTTCATCCATGTCGGTGGCGTTCAGCTGTATAACCAGCATGCCCACCGGTGCGTTCTCCGAGAGGCTCACCGTGTAAACGGGCTGGTCAAACACCGGCACGTTATCATTAGAGTCCAGCACTTTAACCACCAGCAGCGCAGTGCCAGTTCGGGGAGGCTGGCCGCCGTCTACCGCGGTCAGCACGTACCTGTGCGCCGCCTGCTGCTCCCGGTCCAGAGGCTTTTCCAGGACCAGCTCTGCGAACTTGTTTCCGTCGGTTTGGGTCTGCACATCCAAGTAAAAGTAGTTGTTAGTGGTGATATCATACGTGTGTAAAGCGTTAGAGCCCACGTCCGGGTCGAATGCGCTCTCCAGAGGGAACCGGGTGCCCGGGACGGCGCTTTCTGAGATCTCCACCGTGATGTCTGTCTCCGGGAAGCTGGGCGGGTTGTCGTTAATGTCTACCACCTCAATTTCGACCCGAAACAGCTCAAGCGGGTTCTCCAAGAACACCTCCATGTTGAGCTGGCAGCTGGCGCTCTGCTTGCAGATCTGCTCCCGGTCGATCTTTTCGTTAACGAACAGGACGCCGTTCTCTAGGTTCACCTCCAGGTACGGTGTCCGAGAGCTGGGCACCACCTGGAAGCGGCGGGAGGCCAGTTTGGTAAGGTCCAGTCCCAGGTCCTCGGCAATATTCCCCACCAAGATGCCATGGTCCGCCTCCTCCGGCACAGAGTAGCGTATCTGGGCGAGCACTCCATCCGTGATGCACAGGACAAGCAAAAGCACAATCATCGCCGGAAAAACAAGTGCACTTGGGTAAAAAATATTATAAACCTTATTATTTTCTGTTATTGGACAACATTTCCATTTCCATCACCCATTTTAGTCGGGAGATAAAGTCTCCAAATTGCGTAAAAGTCTCAAAAAAAGCGTAAGGCGTCCGAAGAAATGTGCCCCATTAAAAGAGAGGCATTTTGGTTTATTAAAGGAGTTTTTATAACAGCAAAAGCTCTTTTCTATTCTCTCCCGTTGCCTTGTTTTTTCAGATGTGTCCCGGAGAAGCTCCAGCGCGCATTACGATGAGGCACAGTGCTGCTGGTGATGAAACCAGTCTGGAGAGAAGTTGGAAAAATAGAAAATAAATATCCATTTATAAGAAAAAGGAGAAACGTTTTCTATTCTGTTATTATCCCTATTTAGAAATAAAAGTCAGTGTTGTCCTCTTGCGTTCTGGCTCTGTGTCTTTGGCACCCTGCGCCCTCACTGCGTCCCCTCCACTCCACTCTCTACTGACGCTGTTCACTCAACTAGTTGCTTTTTCCCCTGCATCGCACCTCCCCCTCTCAGCCCCCGCGGGTTTAAGTCACGCTGAGAGCTCCCTGATTGGATAACGGGGCTGCCTGTCAGTGCCCGCTCAGCCCATACTCTCTCTGTATGTGTCTCTTACCTCGCTCTACCTTCCCTTCTCTTCCCTTTAGAATACCTGACGCAAAAGCGAAGAGGGACAGAGAAAGACAAGGCTGGATAGATATGACTTTAACCCATCGGCTGCTAACCCCCAATCCCACCTATGCGTAATTTAAAGCGCACCAGTTGAGCCTTTGCGTGCTCAGAGTGAGGAGGACTTGCTATGTTAATGCATGCAAATGTTGTGAAGTGTATGCAGGGAATCATCGGCCATCCGTGCTGCTCTTAAGGATGTGCGTTATCATTACACCCAGTAGTTGAAACGTTATTAACTCACCTCCAGCCGCAGCAGCGGGACAGGGAGGCAGGGAGAGGGGCATATGCAGAGCTCATGCGACCCCTAGCGGCACACGTGCTAACCAGAGTCTGACTCATAACAAGAAGTAAATAGACTAAATTATGTTAACCATAATGCTGTGCTTATTATAAAAACAATTACAAGAAAACCCTTTCAGACCCAATTTAAGTCCACTCAATGTCAGTGTTCCTTACCCTATATCAAACAATGAATAACTAAATGTGTCAACTCAGGTCTTTATTAGATATCTACTGTGACAGTGTGACATGGACGGATGGACACATGTAGGGCCACACAGGTCTGTGTGCAGTCTATGGTCTGTACCTGTCATTCACAGAGGTGCACTCACTGCTCTGGAAGCACTAACATCCAAATATAAATGTGCATGTCATTTGAATGAGATTTAGTTCACAGGAATAGTTTTATGAGGTTGGAAAACAAGCCCAATACTGCAGCCTTCTAAATTGGAGAGAAAATATTACAACATGAATAATACAACGGTATTAAAAGCAGACAGTATTACTAAAAGTAGTCTGAGAATAGACTACCAAAGGAGTCATTTACATACAGCAGGGTTTATACTCGTGAATTTAATCAGATAATCCAATTGAGCCATTTTCCTTTTGCAGACACGACTCCCCATCTCTGTCTGTATTTTAGAATATTAATATTCCAGCAATCAAGCAATTGCACATGACATCAAAGCCATAGTTGTTTGAATATTAATGTATTATTCATAATTGGTACATTACAAAGGGAGAAATGGGCCCTAGTTTTCCCAGCTATAGTGGAACTATTTACTTAAAAGGAATTCTTAATGTATTCAGATTTTTAAAACAAAGGATGGTTCAGATGTGGTTTAAGACGAATGAGTTATTAATGCCTTTACCACATTAACTGTGTGCTTCTGATGTTGAACCGAGAAGCGTGTTCATATACCTGAACTTTGTGAGTACATATACTAGCAGGCAGAATGTGTGCAGAAGTTGTTTTGTAATTTTTTCTTTATTTTAGAATTTTATTTTGGACTCCTTTCTGTGAACTGATCTGTCCTAACAGGAAGTGTGTGATCTGAGCAGCAGACCGAGTGCTCCCCCTAGTGAGAGACTACAGCACCACACCCCAACACTGCTCCACCCTGACTGTGTGCTGTGCGGAGTCCATGATGGCCACACATCCACCTTCTGAGCTGCAGAGAGTTCAACACACAGTGGGTGATTCACTGTCAGAGCTCACAGAGGAGAATCATCACTTCTCTAAATCAACTTCCATCTGGTCAGTGGTACAGTCAGACATGCATCATACATGCACACAGTAACCCAGATGAAGCACTGACACAGAAACCATCTTCGCAGTCATGAACAATAAATGATTTAACCATATAAAATGATTACAGCAGTCTCTCATACACACAGCAGCAGAGCAGCCTCTTATCCTGATTTACAAGGTCATAACATCCTATTCTCTTTTTTAAATTTTAAAGGTAAAAATATAGTGTAGCGACCAGTAGTGACTGTCTTTCGCTGGGTAAAAATAATGTCTCTCTCACACATCAAGTTCCTCAAACATTGCAGTGGGCAGTTAGAACAGTTAGTATTTAAATAAAACAAAAAAGGGCACCTGAAGCAAACGCACCCATTCGATCATTAGAGCTGGAGAAAGAGCATGTAATCATCAAGTGTTATAAAGCAACAGGCACCAAAGAGTCATCTGAAACCAAGCTTTAACAAGCACACTATCAAACGTCCCTGTGGTGTCACATGGGGACATTTAGATGTTAGGATGGCAACATTGGGCCACATAAAGCACAACAAAGTCTGCTCGAAGCACGTCTATGGCAAAAATACAAACTGTGTCCTACACACTGCACAGGGCTGTGTTTCTTTTTAAAGTCTGACATTTAATCAGCTCCTTGTACCAAAGAAAAGGCCGTTTTTTAATATGAAAGGACTCTGCACTGACACCTCCTGGGAATCAGAGGTGTGTGCATATGCCTTATGACATGAAGTTGAGTCATATTGTGAAGTCTACATTTCCTGTCTTATACTTACTCAATCTCATGGCAGCCAAACACTATTCACAAGTAAGAGGCCAATGTGAGTCTGTGGATGCAGAGCAGCTGACTGACAGATGTGTCTCAGGTCAGAACACCTGGCTGGGGTAAACAGCAAACTGTGCTCTACATGTCAGACTTCCTAAAAAACATGTTTTTAAGAATTATCTATTAACAACACAGAGGGGGTGATCAGTGTTTCCCCTATATACAAATAGCGGCGGCTATAATTATTATTATTTTTTTTAAAAACCTTTCTTTTTTTAATTAAAATAATAATAAGTGGCGACCGATTTTCATTTTTGATTGTTTGTTATGTGG